TTTTAGTTGCATACAAACTCAATTAAAAATTTCGACTATAAAGAATGCAAGAATTCCAATTATTTCACCATAGAAAATAAAAGAGAGAGTTAAGGCAGAGAGAGAAAGAAGCATAGAAAAAGTCAGATTACTTTCACATATAAACATGGCAGCAAGCTGAAAGCAAAGTTGGAATGTGATGTTAGCTTTGTCTCTCTAAAAATTTGTTTGGCCTAACGAGGTAGGATAACGATGTGCAATTATTTTATCTCGTTTAAATTATTTTTCTGTATTGTTGAATTATTATACTCATGAAAGTTAAATATATGGTATGATGTATATAACATGCCAATCCGGTACCAAAGATATGATTTGTATTGAGCTCTTATCGGTTACTAAAGATATAATGATGGTATGATATATTTGACACGTGATTAAATATTTTATTCGGGATTGCACAATTACTTCCGTGGTGCAGTCGTGGTGCCAAGATTGATGGGTCTTGATAAGTACGTTTTTACATACTTATTTTATTGTCAAAACATGTGAAATTGTTGATTAATATGTTGGAATGTAGCTTAATTCTATGTAATTTATGTTTTGCATGACAAGTGATGAATGTAGCGGAAATAAGGAGAAACAAGTGAAAAATGACCAAAATGGAAGACCGTGAAAGTTCAGGGATTACAGTGCAAATACTCTAAACTTATTTCTAACCTTGTGATGAAGATTTGAGAGTGTTAGATGTCAATTGGATGAAGAAATGAGTCAAAGGGATGAAATATAGCCAAGACATTATCACATATCAACTTTCAAGCTGAAAAGTTTTGCATCGATTTTCAACCACATATTGAGACCCATTTTTGACATGGTAAACGATCGAATTGGAAGATTATATCTGAATCAAATTTGTAGCCCTTTGAGTCCGCGTTCCAACACATCTTGAAGCACCTCAATCGGATATCGGAAGAGAAAGTTATGATGAAAATACTAAAGACTGTCGAAAAATCACAAACCTATGCGCCACATAGGGTTATTTCTATGCGACCGCATTGGACCTTTCAGAGATTATCAGAGGCCAATTTCAGCCTTCTATGCGACCGCAACACTTATACCTATGCGGCCGCATAAAGTAAAACTGTAGCGTTTTTTAGGTTTTTCCCTTCGATTTGGAAACCTAATTTTCTACCCTATTTAAGCCCAAACACGCCCCAGAATGTCGTCAAGCAAGTTTTTACACTTTTTCTCCACATTTTTGGCTCAAGAAACTCCATGGAAGGCTAAAGACCTTGGTGAAGCAAAGAAGGAACTCAATTGGATTTGGGGATTTCA